TCTCTCTCTCTCTCTCTCTCTCTCTCTCTCTCTCTCTCTCTCTCTCTGTCTCTCTCTCTCTCTCTAGATGCGATTGGACAGTGTGGCAGGCAGCAGCTACTGATCCAATGATACGCACCTATAGTTCCATGAGGACGCACAGACTGGCGAGAATGGAGAGCAGAGGACCGACCTGTGCAGGGAAACACACGCACACACACTCACCCAAATCCACACACTTCCACAAAGCGCATTGGTGCATGAACACACATGGCTACACACATTTTACACACACCTGTGGAAGGTCCCATTAGACGTAAAAAACAAAACAAATAATGCACAGACAAATGAAACCTTGTGGAAAAAAAACACTCAATGCATGCTCACACAAACCTGTAGCAAACACGCACACACACACACACACACACATTTTAACACAAATGGTGCTGGAGTACAGAATGACCTCTTCAGGACCAGAAGAGGTGATTCTGTCTCTATTCAGCTCTGCCTGCAAGCGGTTTTCTCCCTTAGGCCGTGTGTGTATGTTTGTGTGTATGTGTGTGTGTGTGTGTGTGTGTGTGTGTGTGTGTGTGTGTGTGTGAGTATGGTAATGCAGTGGGTCTGCAGTCGCTACTAACTGTGTTTGGGAACACTCCTCACGTCAGCACAGCCTGCCGCAGCAGCATTCAGAACTTTCTATTCCTCTCCTCAACAATCTTCCATCCATCTCTTTGTCTGCCTGTCTGCCTCTCTGTCTGACCGGGCAGTTGTATGCTTATTCCTCTGTGATGCCCTCCACTCACATCTCCTGAGCCCCCTCCCCCTCTCCTTTCCCCGATCTTTTAAAGCAGGTTGTCTAAGTATATCTTTTAAAAAATGCAAAATAAAGACACGCACGTCAATTTGCAGGAAAATGCTTTATTTGTCCAGAGGAGGGTTTGAGATGTGATTTAGAAGGATGACACTGACCTATAGTCTAAGCTTTACAAAGCCACAGGGCATTACATTCATTCATACTCAATGCATGAGTATCTAAGGCTGTGCTCAGGCTCATATGGGATTAAAAGGTTAGGGTTATTGCCAGACGTCAGCCCCGAACAACCCAAAGAAGTTATCAATAAAATCCGTGGAATAACTCTAAAACCGCCAAGCTATGAATGTAAGGGAGTAAAAATAAGATATAGCAATTTGCACAATCTGAAGACACACCACGTCTTCTCAGTTGAGAGGGGTAAATAAGGTGTCACAAGATTTGAGACAAACAGTTTAGAAAGCATGCTTGATTCTCTGTTGTGAATTTTGTTGGAAATATTACCCAGCTGAAGTAAACATGATGATTTGGGGTGAGCTTGGGTTAAGTATGATACCAAAACTCTTTTATCTGGGTAAAGGACATAAAGAGACCTCTGAGTTTGAAGTTAAAAATTGATTCAATGATAAGTTGCTTGCAGCAAAACAATTTGTGAGAGTGTAGAATATTTCCCAGATAGTTTATTTCCTGTTGCAGTGTTAATATGCAGTAATGTGAACAGCTGACAGGATGTGAACCTAGACCCAAACTGCCAGATATAAATAGAGAACGGGATCTGTTAAGACGGCGAGTCCTCGTACTTGGATGTTGGGACTTTAAGGGGCAAAGTGTCCCCTATGTTTGTCATCACTCTCCTGTTCTTGCCATTCCTGAGGAAATAATTAAATAGACAAAATTATGAGGCGGCATCCCTTGTCATTAATGTGCAATTTGCAAAATAAATGTAATACATTTGCAGAAAGAAGATATATACATATATATGTAATAAGGTGTGTTTAGATTTGATGATAGTCTTCATATCAAGATAATCAATCCATAGCTGATTAATTATCACAAAGCCTAATAAAGCCTCATTCCATTCACAAAGTCCATGTAGGCAGGAGGTCGAGGTGGATGGATGGGTCAACAGCTGTTTGCTTCCCGTTTCCTACTGACAGTCGACATTGGATTTTTTAAAGTATGACCGCAATCGTCCTCTAATCTTAGCCATGTGTTTATTATTATAACCATGACAACAAAGGTCCCCGAATCTTGACAAAGTTATTTTAACCAAAACCACAATGTATTCCTAACCTTGATGAAGTTGTTTTTGTGATTTGGTTTTGAAAGAGACAGACAAATGACGTCGTCCTGCCGATAAGGGTGTCAGATCAGAAAACTCGTCTATGTGTCGCTCTGTAGTGCAGGGACCACAACACCTTCTCAGTTTCATTTGGAGGACTTGTTGTGTAATCATGGATTTAATAACATACAATCAATAATAACATATTGTATACATTAAGTACATACACAGACAGTCATCAGTCCATATGTGCGCGCACACACACACACACACACACACACACACACACACACATTAGCCTTCCTACAGTACATGCACAGACTGCCACCAACCAACAAACTGCACACTGCCTGACGTATGACACACCAGTATTCATCATAATAGTGTACATAATATGTGCACTGAGAATAAAGCAGTCTCATCAACACAGAACAATATAAAATACACATGTGTACACTCTAAACAATTAAATAACCAGTGACAATCTTATTATCTTAGTATCTTATTGGAAAGTTGGATTACAGTATGTGATAGTAGAATAACTGGGTTTTACGGTAATTTTACAGTATATACCAACATGTTACCGTTTATTTACGAAGGGTAATAAAATCTGCTACTTTTGCATTTAATTCCCAACAACTAAAAAGAAAAGTAGAAAACACTGTATTGTATTGAATTCACATTCACTACAATATTGCTGAAGTTTATTACTTTTCCTCGTTCATTCATACAGATGACTTCGTAAGACAATTGATATTAGGAATAGTCCAAAACTGAAGAGGTACTGCATGTTTAGAAGAAAAATAAATAGTTACACACACATTTACTCATGTAAATGTGACCTGCATGAACTACATGACAGTGTAAAGGAGAAAGAGAAGGGGAGGAGAAAGAGAGAGTGATTTGTGAGGGAGGATTTGACTGCCTCACTTCTTCATCGCCTTAGAGACACACTTCTGAACATCGTCCCGTTCCTTCTGGTTTGCAGTTCTACAGTCGTCTCTATAAAAGCACAAATAAACACAGTTAACCAACGTTACATCTTCATAGTATGATTGGGGATTAATTTTACTAACGTTAACTTGGCTGGCTATGCTGTGAGCTAGCTAACGTTACTACAGCTACTTGAGCTCGAGCTAGCTAATGTTACAGAGCTTGCTTCGCCAATTTAAGCAACCTGACGTAATATAATACAGACCAAATGAAACATTATCTGAGATGTTAATTGTTCAATAATCATGAAGACAAAATACTGGACACTGTCAATTTCCTCTGAGAAGCCTAACTTTACCTTTACCTTGCCATTGTTATTATTATTGCTCACTGACACTGCATATGCTACAGGGTCCAGGATTTGATGCTACACCCCTGAGTGAAACTTCCTGTTTATTCTAGAATAGTTTTATTTTCTGAATGATTCAAGGAGCCAGATAGGACCAACTGTTTTTCCGAACTAAACAGGAAGTTTAGGAGAATAGAATATACCACAAACAAGCAAACGTCGCTGTAAACTGAATAGGGCCTATGCAGATTACCCACACTCCTGTGCAGAGTATATCTTTAATTTCATCTTTTGAAGAGCCCTCT